CGGAAGTTCGTCGAGAAAGCGATAAAAAGAAACAAAAGACTTTTTATTTTTTCTTAATAAAAACTTTCAATACAGACGAATAAGCTAAAGTAATATGAAGAAAAGACGTTAGATTCTACTAGCAATAATTGTAAATCACTAGAAAAGAAGCATATAATTCTCTGATATATGTAAAATATGAACTAAAAAGTTTTTTTTTAATGAAAATTATTAGGTGCACAGATTTTTACGAATTTATATTAAAATCAATTTTGATGAAAACGTTCAAGCATGAAATAAAAAAAAAACATTCTAATTATAGCATATATCTACGTCATTTGATTATGTAATGAAAGAAAACATCCCATGTTGAAAAAGTAGCTGAAAGTCTATTAATAAGTGCTAAAGTTCACTTGAGATATCTGACTAAATAGTGATAAGTAAACCATTTCAGAGACTATTTTAAATAAAGCGTTACTTTTCTACTTCAAAAGTACAAATATAAAGTAACTTTAATAGTAGGCAAAGTATTTACTAGCAAGATCAATTGAATTCCTTTTTTTTGCTTTTTTGAAAAAGTGAAAAATCTGAAACAATAACATTAATTTTTTAAAGTTTTCTGTTATTTACAAGTGACCATGTTCTGGAAAGTTGTATGCGTCAGCTTTTGTTTTACATCGAACCATCATAAAATTAAGATAAAAAAAATGGTGAAGGTAAACGAATATTTTCGTATTCTGTTGTTCCGAAATAGTTATCTCTTTCTATTTTTTTTATACAAAGAACTTGGTAGTATTTAACCTACAAAAGAAAATGTGGAACCTATTTTTTAATAGGACTAATTTGAAGATACTCTATGTCTCATAATAAATAGAGTTCTTTCAAATGATTTATTGATTAAACTTATATCCAAATTGTTGATCTCAATAATACACAATAGAATCATTGATCATTGAGACAGTCGAAAATAATAATATCAACCGTTTAGGACTACGATCTATTTAAATATGAAAAAGAAAAGAAATTATCAAAAGTATCAGTTAATATTAATATTTCGCAGTGATGATAGATGTTTGTGTTTGCTTTGGCAAACTATTATCATATCGGTCGTTATGAAACACATTTTTTTCTGTTATCTTTTATCATCACGCTGCTCACATAGAATGCAAACGTGGGTCATTTATCGTATGAAAATAATTATCAGGTAGCCGAATCAATGAAAATCTTCTATTTACAATGGATCCTAGTTTGTATGTTTAAATTGCAATATTGGTAGAATTGCTTATTTTTATAATGTCGTTGGTTTTAGTGGGACTTATCGTTGTACATGCACAAGAGTCAACTGAAGGTGTAAGTGCATTGAAAAAGAAAACTCTCAGTTGATTAATGAGGCTTGAAAATTATAGGTGTAACTAGAAGAAAAAGAGATTTTGTTATTCAAAAAAAAAAGAGAACTATTCAAAAACTTTGTTTTTTCATGAAATAAGATTATCGGAATCAGTGATATGTTTCGTTTCAAAAAAAAACTGAGATTTTAAATTTGATATGTTTTAACAATGTAACTAAGAATAATTTTTTGTTTGAACATGATGTTTGTAGCTGATTCTTGCTTTGGAAAAATAGAAATATTGGTATTGATAAAGAACGATCTTTTGACGGGCCTGTTAGTAGAAACTAGTTTAGAATGCTCATAAACAATAATGATTCAAAAACTGATAAGTTTCATTCGAAACATTGTGTCCAAGGTTATAATAATATAATACTATGGTTATTGATTTCAAATGGTAGTTTTTATGATGAAAGTCTTTCATCGTTACAAGTTTGACTCCAACAGAACTTAAAATAATGAACTATGATGATGAGAAAATGAAATCTAATCTTGTGAGATTTTTCTAAGATGTGAATTTTTTTTTTAGAATGTTACTGGTAAGCAAATAGCAATAAAGGATGCTACTGATATGATGAATAATGAGATATCAATTATTTCAGTTATTGAAACAAGCGAGCCGAGCGCAGCTACAACTTCAGCTTTTACAATAGCAACTTTTAGTAATTTTTTTTCAAAATATTCATTCAACATAAAGTATTTTTCCATTCTTTTTTCAAATTCATAGCAGCAGCACCAACTACTGTAACAACGACTTCTAGTAATTTTTTTCAAAATATTCATTCAAAATAAATTATTTTTCCATTCTTTTTTTCAAACTTATAGCAACAGCATCAGCTTCTATATCTACATTTAGTCCAGCAAATGGAACAACGATCAGTAAATAACTTTGAATTGAATTTAATAAGACTTATTTTGAAAAAACTTTCATCTATTTTCTTCTTTTGTTAAAAGCAATAACGACAACGACCACAACAACTACAACTACAACAACTACAACTACTACAACAACAGAAATTACAAAACGCACACGTAAGAGTCTTCTATAATATAATCATTTATCAAATCTGTTCTTATCTTTGGTAGCATCATCTAATCCTACATGGATTATTGTTGGTAGTATTGCCGGTGGTTTAGCAGCTATTGGATTACTTGGTGTTGTTGCTGGTATATATATATGTTACAGCAAAGCTCATAAACAATTTCGAATAACAAATGATAGTTCAATTAATCGAAATTCTATTCCATTACGTCCACTAGGCAATTAAGACAAAAGATACGTTCTCTTTTTTTTTCTATACGTATTTATGTGTGTGCATAATTTATTGTTTCAACTGTACATTCGCACAGAGCGCACGAGAGAAAGAAAATAAAAAAAAGAAAAAGGAAAAGAATACAATTATTAATCATCATCTAGCTCAATAATAGGAATGTCTTCTTGAGCATTGGTTGCAGCTGGACGTTCAGTTGATTCTATATTTTAAAAAAAATAAGAAACTATTATTTAATGCTTTTTTTAAATTTATTTAACTTACTTGTAACTGCTCGTTCATCATTTGAATCATCATCACCTGAATGATCATTATCTACAGTTGATTTTCCATTCGTATTTTTTGCTGCTTGTGCCGCTTTATAAGCGTCTCTTTCTCGTTGTGCTCGTCGAGATAATTTTTCTTCTCCAACTGCTTTCCATTGACCATTAGTTTCATATTCAATAGCTCTAGCATCCAACGAACATTTACCAATAATATCAATAAAAAATTGATCAACAAATAAATCTGTATATAATGCTTGTTTATTACATACAGGACAAAGCCAAGCTTACAGAACAGAAAAAAATAATTTATTAAAATAAAATTATTATTTACAAAGACTTTACTTGGTTTTTTTTCATTCATACGTAAATAACCGTCTAAATCAAAACAATGAACATGTTTACATGTTGTTGCTCTGCCAGGTAGTCGCATTCGTATACGCATAGCTGGACAATCGAGTGGTAAACGAAGTGATGTTGATGCGACTTCAAGATCATTATCAATTCCTTGTGGAGTTTGTGAAGCTGATAAAATTTGTGTTATTGTACGCTGAGTTTCAAGTGATGGTCGAATAGCTGATGGACGAGAAAGACGAGCTAATAATTGCGGAACTGTTTTACGTTCAGTTAGAAAAACAGCAGCAACATATGTTGGAGGTGGAACTGATACATCTTGAGTAAACCAAGATATTTCAATTAAATTTGATATTAATGGACATAAACGACAATATTCTGTTATATCAATTGGTCGACCTAAATTAGAATAGTAAACTAGAAACTATTGCTAATTTTGAAAATATAAAAGATACCTGGTCGAATAACATCTGAATTTGGTTTCGCTGTTGGCTTTGGTTGAGGTAATAGAACTGCTCGACTATTAACAATAACATGAAGATTTGGTGGTAATTTATCAGGAGCATTGATACCATTGTGGGTTGAATCACCACCAATAGTTGTAAACCTTAATAAGATTTGTTTTCGATATTCAATTTTCGATTGATCAGTATTAAAAAATGTTGATGTTGCTACATCTATATTTTATAAAGAAAAAACATTAAATAGTCATCAGGTACAACTCAAAAATAAAAGAATAAAGCGATCATTAGTTTTATAAAATTTCATAGAAGCTATTCAAACGTATTTATGCGTTCTCTTTCGAAATTTCTTGATATTTTCCCATGATTTTTGCACAACGTACCAGTATTCGTTGTACTACTGAATAATGTACACTCAGGTTCATATGAAAACGCTGACGGCGAGCAGTTTATGTTCTAATTGGAATGATACTGAAGAGAAAATCTTAGAAAAAGCTAGCTATCATTAAGTTCACACTCAAAAAGATTTATAGTCTTGTACCATCCAAAAGCATTTGTAATTACTTTCACATGCGTAGAAAATATTCGAACAATTCAAAAAAGTGAATTAAGAGTTCCCATGAACAAATCATCAACTCTTCAATTTGATTTACATAAGAAAGCAATTTGTATAAATCACTATTTGATCAAGTTTATTTATGCATAAATTTATGGTTTTTTATACCTGATGCTTGTTGTGCTGTTAATAAAAAATAAAAATTAGCCAATGATTGTGTTCCATTTGCTGATTGTTTTGAGGGTGCAATAGCATGTGGTGGTGATATGACACATAAATCTTCATTGAATGTGAATGGTGCAAAACGTATTTCAATATTTTGTTGTTGATTTGAATGTAAATGATGATGTGTAGTTCTTAATGTATTTGTTGAATCTCTTGGATATGGTATTGTTGGTTTTTCACCTTGTCCAAAACGTTTATTATGTAATTCTTCACATTTTTCTCTTATTGTCATTGATGTTTTCATTAAAGCATGACAACGATCAATTAATTCTTGTCGTTTACCAGTTCGTGATTGTCCAGCAAATGTTAATAATGTTTGTAGATCATTAATAGTTAATGTTTGTAATTGTAGATAACGTTGCTCATCTGCTAAATTATTCATGATCTGAAAACAAGACAAATTATTCGTTTTTTCTTTCTTAAAGAGATATACAATAATATGATTTTCTTTTTTGTTTTGTTTTGCTATCATACAAAAAAAAAACACAAACACAGAAAATTTTGTTAATCATCATCAATAAGAATCACATCAGTTGATCCATTGGTTGATGATGGCATTAATTGAATATGTAATTTTGAATCAAGTTCTTGATGTTTCTCATCAATTTGATCATCATCTAATATAATATCATGAATATTTGATGTTATCTGTTGTTGTTGTTGTTCAATAATTAAAGATGATGATGTTACAGGTGCCCAATTTAAATTACTATCAATTGTTATTTCAGTTACATTTTCATTTTCAATTGAATTTAATATTGATTCAGTATACGAATCAATTTGTAAATCATCAAACAAAGCAGGTTTATTACATACGGGACATATCCATTTACCAGCTTTTTCATTTAAAGCTAAATGAAACAAAATGGAAATGAGTGTTGTTACAGAAAAAGTAAAAAATACGAGTAATAAAAGAATTCAAATTACTATGTAAAATATAAATATTTTAGAAATTTCATATCTTAGAGCCACTCAATCGAAAACTTTTAAAATGTTGTACATAAGCTAGTCTCACTTAGACTAAAATTCGACAATAGGATCTTATCGAAAAATCAGGTCTATATAGAGAGGACCAGAGCTGGGGTAAAATATTTGAAGTATTCGTACTCGAAGGTCGATACTCGTTCTCGAAAAACTCTGTACTTCCCCAGCTTTGGAGAAAATTGACTAAAACATAGGCTTCAAAAATTTTAATAACTTCGAAACCTTCACTCATAAGCGTTTTCTCACGAGACATTCAGTAAAGTTGGCAGCTATTTCTTTTTCTACTGATCTGATATCGACGAATATTTCAGAGAATGTTCTTCTTTATCTGGAATACACATTTAATTAACGTCAACGCTTCTGGATGGAGATACAGATTTTCTAAAAATCTTGAATTTTTAAAGTTTTTTTTTTTTGCAATTTCTTTGCCACATGAACACTTTAACAAACTAATAAAGACATATTTGGAATCAATGTAAAATACTGTATCGAGTCATGTATCGTTCGTTAAGCTATAAAATAAAATTTTTTTTTCACAGGAGTTTAAGATCTCGCTCAGGGGTTTTCCATTACAAATGGTATTTTCTTCATCAATTTTATTTTTGGATACAAGAAGTTTAATATTACTATAAAAAAAAAAACGTTTTGACAGAAAATAATTCATAACTACGCATTCAATAGAAACCGTACACTGTGCCTCATTCGAAAGATCAGTGTGGCTTCTATCACTGATCAAAATTTCATGTCAAACGATTACAGTTTATTTAATTTATGAAGTTATTTTTGGCTGCTCTTAGCACGAGTGTTGATAGGAAGCGTCATTAAAAAGAAGTATTTCCGATTATTTGTTTTGAAATGTTCTCCAGTGAGTTGTCTGTTGTAATCAAGCATTGTATGAAAGTTTCATGACTATAGCCACTAATAGAGTGGTGGTTTGTGTGAAAATCGTTGCAGATAATGGAACCGTCACTGTATGTTACAGTCATATCAGATCTCATAATGACGAATCAGAAAAGTATCTGAAAGGCCTTTTTGAAAGCTCGAAGAGAAAAACGAGTTTTTTTTGTAAGTCAAATCGATCTCGAGTTGGCACTTACGATCAGAATTTATCGCGCTCATATGCTAGTTAAAATAAGAATTATAATTTAGGTATTTTTTTGTTTAGTAGTGAATCTTTTGATAATTATTCCTACGTAAAAATATGAATGAAAATTTCTATACCAATATAATTTTTTAAATCAAAACATTGTAAATGTTGACAAGTGATTGCTCGTATTGGTGTTTTCAATCGTCTTTGATCAATAGGACATTTTAATTTTAGTTTTTGATCACTAACTTCTAAACCAAGATCACGATCAGTTGCAATTGCTTTAGCTAATAATTTAACTAAATCTTCACGATAAAATTTTGCTGATTTATTTCTTATTTGTTCACATAAATCTTCAATATTTAAATGTTGTACAAGAAATATATGTAATGCATATTGTGCATTAACATATTGCAAATGTAAATTTGTATTATCTTGACGATATGACCATGTCATTGTTAATTCATTATTTAATATTGGATTGAACATACAATATGATGTTATATCAATTTCACGTCCAATACGAATTAAATCAGTTTGTTGTCTTGTACATGGTTTTGGTGTTGGTAAATTAGTTACATTTTGTGAATTTATATGTATAACTATATTTGGTGGTAGATGATCATCATATTTACCATTTGACATAGGTGGTTGATCAATACGTACAAGACGCATAATTAAACATTTTGTTGTTTTATGAATATCAAGATCAGAATCATAATCATATGATAATGCTAATTGATTACATACATCAAGTGATAAAACAAAATCATTTCGAGAAAAGTATTGTTTACGATATGTATCATAACGAAATACATGATAGCATTCATAAACACATGTTAATGGACGATAAAATGGTAAAGTTTTATGATTTATATTTAATATTGATGATGAAGTCGGAAGAATTGGTCGGGTCATATTTGATGGTGGCGGAGGTAATATTGGAACTTGATATCGAGGAATACCAGATGATGATGAACCATTGGTTATTGTTGCAGTAGCTGTTGGTGGTTGTTGAATATATTGTTGACGAGATAAAATTGAAGGAAAATATGGAGGTTGTTGCTGTTGTTGTTGTTGTTGCTGTTGTTGTTGCTGCTGCTGCTGTTGTTGTTGTTGTTGTTGTTGTTGAGAACGAGAATTTTGAGAACGTTGATTATGAACATTTGCAGGTTGACCGGTGCTAGAATTCGGTCGTACTAAAACAAAAGAAATCATTTGAGATTCATGTATATATATACTAATTGCTGTTGATTGTCAATGTAATAGAATTTATTTTCTTCCCTTATGTTAAATTACATTGATTTCATTCCTTAACGAAGAAAAATCGAATTATATGATAGATAGCGTTGATAAGCAGCGTTATTTTAATGGCTAGCTTTTGGCATTAGAAGGCGATAGCATAATGAGTTACCCGTTATATATTAGTGGATCAATCTCAATAGTCATATTTGTACGTGCAATGAAAAAGAGTATGAATCATATGTAAATCAAAAAATATATATATATATTAAAATTTCATTACTGATTGTATTACTTTTTTTTTTATCTATCGCTGCCATTATCATCATGTTTCGTTTGTTTCGCAGTTAGTATACAGATTTTTTTTAAAACTAGGATTAAAAAGATGATAAAAAAAATAATTTTAATTGATTATAATTTTTTTCGAATTGATTAAAAATATTTTATTTCGATTATTTTAAGAAGAACAATTAATGAATAGTTTTATTGTTTCACTAATCAATTATTTGATTTGCTCTTGTTCGTTATGAAAATTTGAAGATTTATCTTATTTTTAGCAATAGCTATTGAAAATAATAGTCTATAAAGTAATTTTACGGACATCAACAATTGTTCAGGTTATTTTTAGCAAAAGCAAAAATCATATGTGAACATTAGATTTTTGTTTTTCAAATAAAATATCAAAAAGTCTTTAACTTGAACTAAATCCATATAAAAAGAAACTGAACTAGATTGCTAATTGAGAATAAGAATACATCTTTTAGTATATGAAAATCTTATGACTGAAGTTAACATTAAGTTTTTCTAAACATGTCTAATTGATATTCAAAAGCAATTCTATTCAGAATTTAATATTTTTTCGTTCCTATTCGTTATAAATATTTGAAGTAGAAATGTTGTTTTCATGACAATCATAAGACAATGTTAGACAAAAAAATAAAATATTTTACTTGGTCTTAATTGTTGTGGAACATTTGATGGTGTTGGAAGGCGATAATTCGGTGGAATACTATATGGTATTGTTTGTTGAGTATAATAATATGGTTGTGGATTATATGATGTAGCATAAGTTTGCTGTTGCTGTTGTGCTTGTTGTTGTGACGGTGGTGGTGGGGGTCGATATATTTGTTGCTGTTGTTGATAATCAGGTTGAAAACGTTTTTGTCTCATTGCATAAAGTGTTTGTTCAAGATCCACTGAATAATAATTATCAATAAGAATATATGTTTGCTGAATTAATTGTGTGCGTGAATAATGTTGAAATTGATTATTTAGTGTTGTATTTGATATAGATTGTATATGATTTGTAAGAAATAAACGTAATTGATCATCAGTTAATTCATTTACTATTTGATAAAGACGTGCACGATGTTCTTGTGATAAGCGTATTGTATTATTATTTGACGTTGTTGACAACGGTGTATGCATTCCTTGAGCAGTATTCGTTGATGCTAATGAAATTGTATAAGATGTTGGTTGAATATACATTAGTCCATCAAGACATAGGTAAGCAAAATATTAATATTATCAGATGAAAATGAAAATTTCATTTTTGGGGAATTGTTCTTTGTGCGTAGAGAATATTTGACTAATCAGAATACAACAGATTCGTTTACTGCCAATCGATCAATTGTATGATTTTTTGATTTAGTTTCTCTGTTGTAGGATGACATCTGTTGAAAAATGATTTGTTTTTGACAGTTTAATACTTAAGAAAGGGAATAGAAATGAATATTTGCCTACTTTATTATTTGGGTTTTTATGAGAAGAGATTTTGTTTTAGAAATTAGATAATTGATATCTTTTTTCGTATCATAAACTATAATATGGTTTTTTACAAACCATTTTTTCTTAATTGATGATATTACTGCGTAATTTTAAACTATTACTGATAGATTGATAGTTACTCATAAATATAGTTTGACTGATAAGAAACTTGAGTTCGATTAGTATATATATCTATATATATACGCTAATTTATCTTTTCAACTATTTAAAGACAGTTTTTATTTAACAAAAACCATATGATTTTGTTTCAATTAATGCAAATTAAAGGTTTTAAACTCATATTTTTTGTTCGATTTCTGATTAAACATGCAATTCATATATTAAAAAAAACAAAAGATTTATGCTGAATAATTTTCATGGAAAGACTATTTTTATAATGTGAATCCTAATATATTTTGATGAATATTAATCGAAAATATGAAAATAAAGATTAATAAATGAATTCTTGAATTTAATACTATAATATATATTAGGCGACATATATACAAATTTATTCCATTAATTTCTACTCCCAATTTAATTAATATTGATAACGTTCAATTCTGACTAAAGATTTTGCTAACAATTTTGTTTTTTTTTTTACTATCTTTAGAATATTGAAATGTCAAGTCAAACTAGCAGATGCTATAAATTTTCAAGGATCTTTCTATTTTATTAAAGCATCTTGATAAATTTTCGAGGTTCTCATAAACAAGTTTGAAACGATATCACTTTTATTACCTTAAATAAACAGATGCTTAATAATTTCTATAATAATTATTAATAAGTATTTTTGATAGTCTTATGAAAATGATTTAATATGAAACATGTTTTTTTTTTTCTCCTTATGAAATCTCTTCATTACTTGATATACGTTTGATCTTCTTTAATTCAAAATTCTAGAAAAATATTTATAGTTGTTTATGAAATATAACTATATCAAAAATTACAATTATTATAAATAATGATATTTGTCTATATTTTATTAACAAAATTGAAAATATACTACAAAAAAAAAATATTTTTAAATGACTAAAGTATTGTCTTTCTATTACATAAGATGACAACAACAGCAGGAGTTTCCATGCGGTTTTTTCCCATAAGCTAGTGAATCATTTCTATTACGATACGGTACCCATGATGAACTTCTGCTTGGTAATGATTGTGGTAATTGAATAGTTAATATTTGATTTTCATCTAATTTTGCTCGTATTTGATCAGAATTAACATTTTTTGGTAATTGATATTGTCGATAATATTCTTTACTCATACGATGGTCACCTGTATTGTCATAATTTTGTGCATTTATTTTTAATAAACCATTTTCATCTATTCTAATAGCTACATTTTTAGGTCGATAACCATGTAAATCAAATGTTAGAATATTGTTATTATTGTTATTATTAACTAACGGTATATCATATTGACATGGTCGAACATCTACATCAATACGAAGACGTCCATATGTATCAATTGTATTGCGTACAAGTCTTGCTTCAATATTTGGTCCACCAAGATCATATTCACGTCGAAATTCATGACATGGTGAACGATATGCATGTATACGTAATCTACCATAATTATCAAGTAAAACATTTATTTGTTCAGGTTCATAATTATATAAATCAAATTCATATGAATATGTTCGATAACCATGACCATGATCATGTATTGAATAACGATTTGATGATGATTTTGGTGATTGTAAAAAATAATTTTTATCATTATTAATCGGTATCAATGCTGAAGATGTCATTGTATATAAATATATGTATGTATATGCATAGGAAAATGAATTGAATGCTTGATTTTTCTCGTTCTCTCGCTTTGCAAAAAACAAATCGATATGATCTAGTCGAGTAGCTAGGAAATATTCTTGTTCTTTTTTTGGGAAAGGATAGAGTCAGTATTGGCCTTGTATCTCAGTATATGCATATTCATATAGAATGGATAATAAATAGAGCAAAAGAGAAAGAAAAGAAAATCGATAACAGACGGAATATGTTAGCCGTCATGTACTGCTGTCATCAGTTATAACATTGATGATGATTTGAATATTTACAGATATAATCGTGGATTCAGCAATATTGATAAAAAAAGAAATAGGAATGTAGAAATTTATTTGTTATTAATGTTATCTCATAATGTAAATCTGTTATTACATTTAAGAACAATAACTGAAAAATCTTAATGTATCATAACGAATCTAGTTTTTTTCTCGTATGACATTGCTAAAGATCTGATAAAAATAGAAATATCGAACATAACAATATTAGGTTTTTTTTTCATCCATGGTTCTATTCAATGTTTGTATTTGATAAAATAATTACTAGTTTATTTTTTTCAATAGATCATCATCAATTTAATATGATGATACAAGAAAAAAAAAATGATTAGCCATAAAACCGTCAAAAAAAAATATGTTGACAGGCAAAATGGTAGAAAAGTGCTTTAGAAAATTCTGACTAGTGACGTACATGCTTTATTGTATAGAATAATGTTAATATTCTAATTGAGATCAAATCTAAGCTACGAGATAAAAAAATGAAAAACTCTCATGTCATATAACTTTGGACATATACACCAGTTGATCCTAACGTCCTCATTTCAACATAGGAGCAATCTAAAAATATGAAAGTTTAATACGGCAAAAATGCAGTACCTTAACAGCGATAAATCAATAACCAGAACTTTTTTCAGAGTATTCATAGCTCATTATGATATATATGATGCACATATTCCTGACTCAAAAGCGAGTTCATATTTGAAATGTTTCTTCGTAATTATTCTATAGCTATTATAACATTACTATAATATCATGTACTAAGATTGTCTATACGACGTTGAAGTACAATGAAAAAACTATCGATTATAGGTTGTGCGCATCTAGTGTAGATGGAGCAGTTGCAACTATGACAATAGTTGTATAATAGTTATTTGTCTGGCTCTTTTAATGAATATATACCAGGTGTTATTCATCGCTATTACTATTGATTATTAATCCATACCAGTAGAAGTAAAAAAACAACAACAATGAACTATAAATGCTTAGAGTTACCATTTACTGAAGATATCACTTTCATCAATATCTTTCCTTTTAATCTTTTCCAGTACAGCAAAAAATTCGAATATAGTAAACATCAAATCTGTTTAAAATTCCCCTCATAAATATTTTTTGTTTTCTTTTTTTTTGACTTTGCCATTTCGATTGAAAGAATCGAATAGTAATAAATTTCAAATGAAAAACTCTATAAACATTTATTTTAATATGAATTCTTTTTTACAAAACGAACAAATTTTTAATGTTACTTGTATTGATCAAAATAATCAAAACTCATCTAAAAAACATACACAAAGAAAGAGGCGCTTTTTTTTTACATAATTCTTTTTTTGGAAAACAAATTCATTAGAAAAAAAAAGTTTTATTGAATATCACAGTAAAGAGCGCGTATTCAAACATAAAATTAAATCATTCATTCAATCTTCACATTCACAATTGGTCTTATTATATCAGCAGTTGTTTGGCATTGATTCTATTTAACAAATAATGTCACTTATTCTTATCTTTTACTTCATATTAATGGTAGCCGTACCAATAAGTAAGCTATATAATATGAATGTAACATTCATCAATCTATGAAATCCATAGGAACCTTCAAGTGGGACGGTCAGTTTAAGCTTCAGGGTGCTTGTAATGCAACAGCATGCTGCTGTCCTGCCAGTGATTTGGCTATTGAAAAACGTGCTAATGTGCTTCATGCGGCCTTGCAAATAGATGGTCACGACTGTACAGCAGGTTCAGGAGCGAAAAATTTTACAGTTAAGGATGGCAACAACGCAAATACTGTTGGGTCGTTGGGTACTTTTACACCAAGAGGTGATAATGCCTTGAATGTATTATTGAATCAGGTATTGGTAGTAAGATTATTTTATATTTCTATTTGAGTTAGTTTCATATGAATTTTATGATGAAAATGAAAAGTTTATTGAATTATTCAATTCAATAAACTTTCTTAGATTTTATTGAACTAAAATATTTTCGACATTGAATTAAAGACTAAAAATTGATTTTAAAATATTCAAACAGCAAAAGAATCCTTCTATTGACATCAAATATTTTTAATTTTTATGTGTTTTTATTGTTAATTAGATGAATTTTAACCATTAAAACATAATTTTGTTTTGCTTGATTAACAAAAAGAAATTAGTAGAAGCAAGATGAAATTTTGGATAACTTCTTAATAAATTTCTATTGTTATTGTATAAACGAGTTTTACTAAACTTTTAGACCACAGACTCCGGAAATTCATGCACAGTGACTATGAATCGTGTTCAATCTTCAATTACTAGTGCTACTAGTAATCCAAATCGTAATAATACAAGTACAGCTAAAAATCATGTTTCATCAAATTATGATTCAACTTTCATCAAATTCATATCGATCATCATGGCAATTACTGTTGTCATGCATATTTGATCTATCAATAAAAACATAGACGATAAATTAATCAAAACTAAATTATAAAAATAAAAATAATTGTTTCATTTCTCTTCCATGTTATATCTACATTGTTCAAATAATTCAGAAATAAAACATTCGCGCCAATAAAATATTCAATGGTCTTAAATAACAATATCATGATAGTTAAAAGAAGGAAAGATTTTTTTTTAATTTATGTTATGATTAAATAATCATCAAAATAGTTTCACTATACAAAAAA